GCAAACACCCTCAGGCCCCCCTTCTCTCCCTCTTCTCAGACCTAAGCCTCCCACACCCCCACGTTTCGCGCTTATCGATTGCACCCATCCCACTCAGGTCTCGTGCCCGAACTAATGCCGTCCGCGTGACATCTGCAGCTGCACTCAACCATCCTCACCGTCGTCGCTGCCATTGCTCAGCTGGTCGCCTTGCTCTGGTATCTAGTCTCGTACTTCCCCATGGGCTCGACGGGCCTGCGCTTCGCGGCGCGCTTTGGAGGGAATAGGGTCGCGGCCTGGATGAACGATTAAACCTACTTAGTATCTGTATTGGAGTGGGATGGGGCTGAGCAATATCTCGACGCGTCAGTGACCTGGCCCAGAAGGTGGGTGGAGTGTGTGAGGCGAACTTCGCGAACTCGAGGCACAGGCAGGCAGCTGAAACAAAACGGATGGAGAAATACGGGCGTTTCGGAGGCGCCTCCGCGTGTTCAAACATTAGGAATGAATGGGGCGTTGACGTCACTGTAATATAGCAAACACCCTCACGAAGAGGGCACGTAATCCACTACGCAGCGGGTTGCAGTTTGATGCCGGAGATGTCGTCTTCGTACTGCTGCGCGTGCGGCCTCAGTGGTGTCAGTCGCACTCACGATAGTCGGGTGGTGTCGGAGCTGTCAGGGTTGGAGGGAAGGAAAGTGACAGCTCTCATTCTCCAGCCTTCCCTCTTCCACAGCAACAATCGAATGAGCTTCGAGAAGGGCATCACGCGTCCGCGCGCTCCCTGGTTCGTTTCAGCTTCCAACACCCAAGCCGCCAACAAATCCGCTGCGTCTGCGATTGACTGCGCGAGCACCCAATCCCCAACCTCCTTTCTCCTCTCCTGCGCTGCTCTACTACCCTCTCCGCTGATCGATGGACGGGTAGCAACCTCACCGACGCTCTCCCACCTCCCCCTCCTTGAGAGACTAATCACAGTATCGCTGATCATACACCCGTCCCTCCTTCCTCGCTCGCCATCAACCCCCAGCCTCCTCCCCCTCCCCTACCCTCCACGCGACGGATCTCCATCCGGACGCAACCGAGATGGAGTGAAGACCCAGCTTACTCATCTCCCCAATACACCCCCTCCAACATCAGCATCCCACACTCCATCCATTCACCGCGGCACTGGAAACAGACCGAGGAGCGCAAGCAGCGGCTATCCCACCTCTATTATACTTCGCCTAGGCGGGCCAACTTGGTGCTTACGCTAGCTAGCCCTTCGGTACGCCGTTTTAGCCCACCACGACTCGCGGTTCCAGACCCGTGAAATCCAGGAAAGTTGGCGACTGCCACACCGCATTCCTTGAAATACGGGCTCCGCGGGCGGTGGCGGCGGAGGCGTTTCCAGCGCCCAACTGCCCGCCCAGCCAGCCCAGCCCGAGCCAGGTGATGGGCGTGGCGTTTGGGGTAGGCACGCATGCAGGTGATGTTGCCAGCCGGCTAGCCGTTTAGCGAAGGGGAGGGCAGAGGTTACCCGGCGCTTTCTGGAAAGCGAAAACGCCGGGTAGCGGCCGAGATGGACATGAATGACGGTTGCTGGGGTTGTGAGAGCTGGGCGCGTAGATATCGCGGTTGGTAGCGGGGTGCCTAGAGCATATCTACTGAACCCTCTTTTTGTTGGAGCGCATCTGCTGCTGTGACCCTCGTTTTAGCGGCGCGAGGACGGATGCAGGTGCGTGTGCAGTGGTGATCTGCCGTGCGGTCCGTGGAGGGTGCAGGTTGGGAGGATTGGATGGCTGAGCGTCTGCGTTATGCAATGCTGATCTGCCGCGCTTTTGTGCCGCGTTGCGGAGTTGGGGAGGTGGGAGAGTGGGGACGGGGATGCAGTGGATCATGCCATGCGCATGCTGCAAAGAGTAGGTAGAGGGACCGGCGTTGGAGAGGTGGTAGGTGTGGAGAAGAGTTGGTTTGGAGAGAGGCTACCGGGTTAGAGTGCGTCGAAAGCGGCATGGCTGAATCACACCATTTCCCGATTCTGAGGTCGAGTGGCTGCATTGGGACGGCGAGCTGAGCTCGTTAAGCGGTTGGGAGCGTGAATGTTGTTATCTTCAGTTAAGAATTCGACGGCCTGATGGTGGGTATTTCGCAACCTCGTCACGGATAGCCCGTCCAAGGTCTGGCCATGGGGCGCATTGTTTCATGATGGCTCGAAGCAGGTTTATCGAGAATAGTCGTTGCTAGCGTTGCTTCGCGGCCTATAGATAACACTATCCGGATCCTAGTCGGTATGCAATGGATGGGTGCAGCCCGGCTTCTTCCCTCTCGGCCTCGTGATCTCCTCTCTTCATCCCAACTCACGATAAGATTATCCTAGCTGATTCTTCTTTCTGTCGTCAAGGCTACCCTCGGCTCAGCGATCTAGCAGCAACAGCGCGGGCGAGAGTAGACGCCCAATTTCTTGATGCATGGAATGTGATGGAGGTGGCCCGTGGTGGATGGGCGGCAGGGATGCGCGTCGGCTTGATGCCAGATTGTCGACATTGACCCTTCCCCGCAATCCTGCACGAGCGTGCCAAACCTGCGGCCGTGATAGGGCCCCGCGTGCAAGCCACCACGTGTGGTGTGGGTGGCTGACAGGGAGGGGGTGCAGTGGAGCGCGGCGAGAACGGTGAGTGGAGAGAGCGAGGGAGGGTTGCGCTTCTGTTTCATTTGCGGCCGCGTGAGCCGAGGAGAGGCATGTTCTATTGATGTGATGAGAGTGTGCTTTACGAGACACAGACCGGTGAGTGAGGGAATTCAAACGGTGGACTGCGGAGTAGACTCCTCGGTGCGTGAGTGAGTGCGCGCAAGAGCAGGCTTCCGGGAAAGTCGGCGACCGCATCAGCACTGCTTCGTGTGTGTGTGGCGAAGTGGACGCAATTCTGCTCGAAGAAGACGCGCTTTTCCTGTCTCAACACTAAAAGGAGACGTCAACTGTCTCGCCGTTCCTTGGTGCGTGGATTTGGAAGCAACTCCGGCACGCCCGCCGTCCGGGCGCAGCATCCCTCAATGCAAGATCAATACGCCGTGCATGCGGATCGCAAGATTGACGACGCGGAGGTATGGGAACCGCGGAGAGACAGAGGGTGGTTGATGGAGGGTAGCAGGGGAGTCCAGAACACGAGCGCTCCGCCATTGGCACCCGTATTGAACCTTGGAAGTCTGCAACGCAGGGTTCTGGAGTCCTGCGAACCAACTTTGCTAACACCATCTCTAGTCTTTCATCCTTCATGCATGTGCTCCCTTCCACATGCGGCGCGACGGGCGTAGGCGACCTCCGCAGCCCCCAGCCTCGCAGGGCGGCAGCCTGGTTCTAGAGAACGCCGCTATGGCTGCGAAGGGAGCCTCGTAGGGCTGCATGCGAGACAGCTGACATGCCTTGAAGCGATGCCTACGAGCATACTTCTGTCACACGTTCGAGAAGAGGGCTCTGGCCATCGAACCTTGGAGACGCCAACGACTCGTGTTTTGGCCTAGGGTCATCATGCGAACAGGTGATGGATGCTTTGATAGAGGGGGAGGAACTGGGAAGCGAGTAGGTAGTTTGGTATGCTGACCTCTTGATTAGAACCATTGGTCGGTATCTTGCCAGATGCGCTGCAGTATCAGAGTCCTGGTCTATTGGCAGTACCGAGCGTTCCGCGGCCGTATATTCGTGGATCGAGCCAAGGCAGTTTGCCTGGAGAGAACGGGCCATAGCCACTCTCATCCTAAACCAGATGTCGATGCGTATAGCAGCTCTACATCAGCGAGGCATGGAGATCTTGGAATCCAACAGCTCACTCTCCTCATCAGACAGACCCAGATAGGCTTCCAAATCCCGAATTTTCCACCTCAAACGTCACCCAAGCCACTTACAGGGCTCTCCGGAAAGACAAGCCCCTTATTCGACGTCAAAAACAAGACGTGAGACGTGCGTTAGGCCTCCAAGAGGCTTACCACCGACCGATCGGTAAGAAATCCAAAAAGAAACCACGCCAGTACATCCACTATGTCTACACGATCCTATAATAGTCATATTAAGGTTCCTCTCTTGACTTTCTTTTCCCTATTACCCCTTATTATACTCCCTCCCAAACAACCAAATCACTTCTAGAATATATCACACGCATCATCATCTCACGCACTCTCTTCTCCACCCCTACATCTGCATAACCGAACGTCCAACCGTCATTACCCGAGCCTTCACCGATCAGCCCTACGCTCCGCGATCTAGGCCTGCATCAGCCCTATGGCTATTTTCTTAACCGTCAGCCCTACAAGCTTACTATCCTGTCATCATCCATGCCCGTGCAGCTCGTTAAGGTTGTAGCGAGCTCGGATCCATGCGGATGGTAATATCAAGGCTTCCCTTTCAGTCGCTTTCGGAAACCTGGTCTGACCTCATTTGATCATTCATCTGGGAGGGTGAGTTGGTGGTGTATGGGTAATTTCAGCGGACTAGTGTCGCGAGTCATGGTAAAGCCCGTTATTTTGACGCTGACGTTTGGGTTGGCGGCTTCGCGGATTATCCGTGGCTGATGGTGGGATCTGAAGGCATGTGATAGCTGCTGCTCCGAGGCTTTGGCATTCATCGCTCAAGCCTTTCTGGGACTCAGGCGAGCGACGAATTTCTGGCTTCAGAGAAGCATGAGATCCGGGTCATTAAGCGCAGGAGAAGGACGATTGGCGTTTCCTCTCAATGCCCAATACCAAGGGGAGATATATCGCCACCCCCTTTTTCCATATCTCAAACTCTATTCTATTCACTTCTTTGGTCGACACATTCATACTAGCATGAACAATTTACGTTTGCGGGCTTCAATATGGACTTCATTACAAGATTCTCGTGTTAATCTACACCTAATTCACATGACACTCTTATAGAATCAACCAACTTTATCCACTCCCTAAGCTTACCCCTCAACTCACCACGTTCAAGATCTCCTATCTGCTCCACCAGCACCCCATTTACCATCTACCCCGCAGTAAGTAAGCAAACAAAAACAAAAACAAACGTCCGGCGCCAAGGATCGAACTTGGGTCCACAGCCCCTTTTTCCCAAGGTTACTAGGTACCTAGCCCTCGGATCGGGGTTGAGAATGCTAACCAACTACACCACACCGGATGGAAACGATGGCCGCTGGGGCGAGCTAGTGTAGCTATATACACAAAGTATAGAGTGTGCCAGCTAAAAGAGAAGTGCGCAAAAGCAAAAGAAGACGAAGTCCGGCGCCAAGGATCGAACTTGGGTGCAGCTCTACCCGCAGGATGGGACTGTATGCTAACCAACGACACCACACCGGATGGACAATATGGCTGCCGGAGCTAGCTAACGTAGCTATACACGAGGCAACAGACTGCTGGGTAAGAAAAGAAAGTACGCAAGCGCAAAAGAAAACGAAGTCCGGCGCCAAGGATCGAACTTGGGTCTCGCCAGAGGCAATATGCTGGCCAACTACACCACACCGGATGGACAAGATGGCTGCTGGGGCAAACTAGCACAGCTATATACACAACACAACAGACTGCTAGATAAGAAAAAGAAGGTACGCAAGCGCAAAAGAAAACGAAGTCCGGCGCCAAGGATCGAACTTGGGTCCCACGGCTTCTCTCTTCTCAGGAGAGAGCGCTCCTGAGACGAGAGCCGCCGCGTTTGCTGACCAACTACACCACACCGGATAGAAACGATGGAAGGAGTGAGCGAATTAGCGAGCTTGTAGACCTAGAGAAAAGATACTTGCGAAGCAAAAGAAAATGGGAGAGAAGGCATAGTATAGGATGTCTAATACTAAGGGTTAAAATTGTACGTCTTTACCCCTGTTTGGCAAGACGCATTGGTTGTAGAGGAGGATAACCTGACCAACTGTACCACATCGAAAGGAGGGGCTAGTTGCAGTCAATTAGAGAAGAATGAGAAGGTTTCTTCGTCAACTTCAACGCTTGCGGATATTGGTTCGGTAATTGAGGCTTCGATGTGACTTGAGCGGTTCTCGAGATGTAATGATACTGAAGATTAAGTCTAGCCACACGAGTCTGCCACTGCTTAACTCCAATGTTGCTCACTCAACGCCACTATAGGGGGTATCTTGGCTGCCGAGCAGCCACTTACTCAAGAAGCAGTCCAATCTACCGCCCATTACTACTAGACACACTCCGCAAACTCCTTTCACTCGGCGCATCCGACTTGCCCTCTCGCCTTAGGTAGTCCGCATACAACTTCCCCCCCTCAAACTTCTTCCCCGCCGCGCCCCTAAAAGGCAAATGATACTGCCCCGTCGTCCCCACAATCCCCGGCGCGCCATCTCTTAGGTTACTCTCCACACGATTCAACCTTCCCGTCACCTCCTCCCTCTCCACCATTACAACCATCCACACCCCGACCTTCGAGTCCGACCCGATGAGCGGCGTGCAGTGGATCCAGCGCGGCTTCCCGTCCGCGGGCTGATCCGGCGCGGTTTCTGAGTCCTCGGAGCTCGCGGTGCCGGGGTGCGGGGCGCTGTGCAGCCAGGAGATCTTCGCCGTGACGCCGATGCCTTGGGTGAGTGCTTCTGTGATGCCCTCGCGGACGTGCGCGGGCCCGCCGATGCGGGAGAGGAAGCGGGATTGGAGGAGGCCCGGGATGCGGAGGGCGGGGGAGAGGAAGGTGATGCGGAGGGAGGGGGCGGGGCGGACGAGGAGGTACTGCGCTCTTGTTAATGCTGGGAAGAATTGGGAGAAAAAGGAGACAAGAAGGGACCGGCGGGAGCGAGCAAAGGGATGAAAAGTGTATTTAAAAGAGGAAGCACACTGGCTGACTTACGTTTTGATACACACCTGGCAGCCGCCCTGAAGGGCCGAACTGCGACGGCGGCCACATGCTCGCCTCTGCCTCTGCTTCGTCCATGCCGACGTAGCGTCGTGTGGTGCGCGCGGTGCTGGGCCGCACGGGGGTGTTGCGGCCGGAGTCGCTGCGGCTGTTGGGGTGGTGGTCGTAGTTCAGAGCGTGCCTTTCGTCGTTGTCGAGGAGTTGGCCGAGTTCGGCGAGGTCTTTCAAGGAGGGTTTTGAGAGGGAGTTGATGGAGGCCCTGCGGCTGACTTCTTCGTTAAGTAGCCGCTGGAAAGACTCGAGGCCTCGGCCACCTTCAACAAGGTAGGTGATGTCGATCTGTGCGCCGATGAAGTAACGAATTTTGCCTCTGTTGTCGTATAAGGGCGCGACTAGGACGAGGTTGAGGAAGGGGGTGCCGTCTCTTTTACTGAAATATCGTTAGAATCCATGCATATTTGTATACAATCCAAACCCCTACTAGTTGAGTATCACGTCGCAAACTTCTTGTCCACCATCTATAGCTGACCTGAGTCGTGTGACCGCTGCTCTCGAAGTTTTCGGACCTTGAAGAAAGCGGCAGTTTCGGCCAAGCACGTACTCCCTCCCGTACTGGGTAGTCTTGAAGAACTCTGCTAGTCATTAGTGGGCGTTACAGAAGGTTGAAAATCTAGAGCTAACCTTCAGACGCGTATACGATTGGATTGTCCTCTATAGACGGGTCCGTCAAGCAAAATACCTCCGCCAGGCCTTGTACAAGCTGCCTCATGATAGGCGCATTGTTACCGGTAATCTCCTTTACCAAAGTTTCCGTTACCACCGAAGTCATTCGATGTGTAATATACGCAGGTAATGCATCTGTGACCAATTCTTCTAGAGCAACTCTTGCCCTTGAATGGAACGATGAACTCAGAGTTGCGGCTGCTCTAGACGGAGCCCGGCTGGAGCCCATTTCCTCTATCACGGCATTCGCATATTGCACCGCAAATGTGGCTTTCTGCGAATCAATGTACTGTGATAGAGTTGATGTCAACATTGGCCTGTATCTATCAATGAAGGCTTTGAACGGGCGTGCTAAATCATCGTCGCGCACTATTAGATCGAGATGGCTCGCGGAGAACAGCTTGTCCGCCAATCTTTCACCATTGGCGTGCGAAATGAAAGGAGGGGGAGCTTGGAGGTCGTATCCAGGCTGTTCGTCTTGCAATTGCTCTCGAGAGGCCTTCTGTGTGGGCGCTGTTGGCTCTGTCGGTTCCATGGGGTCGCCTTCCGCGGAATCGAAGATGGAGTGCACGGGCGAACTGTCTGGCGAAGACGGCGCGTCCGGAGGCATGAATGCGGCCTCGTCGAAGCTTGGACTTTTCTCCGGTAGTAGTTTGGACGGATTGAAAGGCATGATAGGGCTGCCAGCCTTGCTGGAAACCCTCGGAGGTAGTGGAAAGGGCAGGTCGGTCATCCTGAAGATATCTGTGTCACTCATGGTGCAATAGAATAATAGTACGGGAAACAAGAGAAAGGCTGTCAACTGGCTATGAAGTTCAATTACCTGGTACTTGTACAGAGGCTCAAGCGTGCATCGATGTTAGACTAATGCGCTCATGGTGGAAGGCGAGTGCCAGCAGATTGCGAAGGAAACGAATGGAGGAAGCTGTAAGAAATGTCCAGACGGGAAATGTACACTCTTATGACCAATGCACAAGCCCTGCTGCAGTCACAAAGAGGGCAACCGTACACGGTGAGAGCCATAGGCGAGCGGTGCCGACGCATATCAGGCCGTGTTAGTGACCCATCACAGGAAGACACAAATGATGTAGGAGGCTGATCGCTTTGCTACGCGGAGCCGACGCCGCCAAAAGGAAAGATTGCGTCTGCCGCGCTGTGTACCTGCCGTGATGTTGTACCAGGGAACCATGCCAGGTCGGCCTGGGCCCACGAGGCGCCATCGGAATTGATCTCAGCAGGGATGATCGGGGCCTGCGATCGGGCCATGGACGGAGGCGGCGTCTTACGGGACCGCGATTTCAATAGAAACGGCGGCACGATACGAGGCCAGCGTGGTCGCGTTTCGTATGCCTTGGGGCGGCGCCGGCCTGATGCCTCTTGCAGGTGATGGACTTGGATCGTTGTGATGGAATATTCAAGGTTTGGCATTTGAGACTAACAAGTCACAAAAAGACTCGGTATCGTAGAATATCGGGAGGTAAATCAGTCGGAGAGATCCTTCAAGAAAACGGACTAAAAGTGGCTGATTTCCGAGAGACCAATCAATGGAAGCGGAGGGGACCTGCATATCCCACGGTAATATCGACCTAGCTTAGTTTGTAGGGCTAAGCGAGGTCTAGGCAGGTGTATAGAAGGATCCGCTAGCTGCAGAAGAAGCGTAGGCAGGGTTCATTATTGAAAGCGGCAGTCCACGAATCTATGATCGTACTCTAACACTTCCAATACAGTACCTCGTCTTAAGTCTATGCACACTCGTTCATCACCGCTTGAGCTACCCTCGTACGCTTTTAGAACTCCATACACGAAGTTGGGTTTGGCGCCATAGAAATTAGGCTGCCTTTCTACTTACTGGGCATGTTACAGCTCAACACCATCAAATTTAGACTTCTATCTAGTCGACCAGCTATCTACTGTCTAGGGCGCCCCCTACAGTGTTATTAGACAAGCAAATATCAAGCTGCAGCAACATTATACGCGTGGTGCCCGAGATAATACCTACAATTGGTACACCATATCAACATCGGCTCAACACCATGGAATTTGGATTCCTATTTAGCCGACCAGCTCTATCTTACCTAGGACACCCCTTACAGTGTTATTAGACGAGCAGGTATAAAGCTATAGCAATGTAATATTCGCTTACCTGAACGGACACCTAGAATCAGTACACCACATCGACATCAAGCTCAACACCACCAGAACCAGCCTAGCTTTGAACCTCGCACCCACCTACTAGCCAGGGTCCTCCTCACGGCGGTATCACGGGCGCAAGAACAGAGCCCTAGTAGTCTCATCTCCCTCCCCTCCTCCCTCATCACACCACATCATATCACTCAGTCACGATATCGCATGTCGACACTGTCTGGAGTGGCCTCACGAGTTTACTCGTGATCTAAAATGCTGTTCTTTCTCTTATTCGAAACGCTACTACTACTCTAAGGCCTCTCACGCAGCGTCGAACAACTACTCGAGGTTCCCTTTCCGCCACCTCTTCTGCGTCCCGTAGTCATCCATGCCCTCGTCGTACCGATGTACCAGTCTTTCATGATCTTCTTGTTCTGCCTCTTCCATGTCGTCTTCGTAGCGCCGAAGAGCTTCCAGAGCGTGTGGATATACCCACGCTTCGTGGTCGCGAGGATACTTGATGGGGATCGGGGCCGTGGTCGAATGAGAGAAGCTTGGGGGGGACTCTGCCGATGATGTTGAGGTTGCGGGGGTGGAGTAAGCTGCCTTCGCGCGGGGAATTTGGAAGGATGATTCTGAGCATGACGAGATGGCACTATCGGAATCTGTATACGACGTCGCCGTGGAGTCGGTGGGTGCTTCTTCCTCATCGGCAAAGCCGCTGGTATGGACGTGTAAAGCCGCGCCTGAGGGTTCTGCGTTCTCGGCGACATTGTTCGTGGGAGTAGCAGCGGTCTTGTCGACATCGTTGGTCGTAGCGACGGCTTGCTGGCGACGGCTTGGGAGGATGGCGGCTAGAATAGCTAGGTAGGTGGCGCGAACGTTGAAGAATGCCATAGTTGCAAGTTGGGCTTTTGCTGGTTGAAGCGTTGCGAAGGGTTGTGCGTGTGAAGACTGTGCGTGCGAAGAGTTGTGTGTGTTGGGTTGAGTCGTGTACGTGTAAAGGTGAGATTTATGTGTGGGAGAG